TCAGGTGCAACATTACATAAGCTTCTCACAACCTGTCTCTTATTATTAAAGTGCATGGGCCTGGTGTTTCAGACAAAGTGACTTGCCATCATTGGCAATGTGTGTGTCCAGAGATTATTCCTCAAATGCAATGGAAAATACTGATGCAAATCATATGCAGGTCGGTTTAGCCAATGTAATGGTCAGAAACAAACATGGTACCAGTCCAGAGGTAATATGTAATAGAATAGTGTGTAGTTCATATATAGATAGTCATGTAAGGGTGAGCTAAGTGTAAACTTGATCTGTTTTTCTTCTCTTCTCTTGCTCAAGCAAGAATATCATGGCTTGTGTCCTCCTTGTTTAATTTATGGGTAAACATCCAGAGAGAAGTCCTGCTTAAATGGGAAATGGGCATAGCTTCAGCCTTATGTGAACTGCTCATGTGCTCTGTTCATGTTTAGGAAAAGGAAATGGGCACTAGGTCAATGTGACCTAGAAGTTCATGTACTGGACATCTCAGACAATTCTCCGAAGAAGAGGTGTAGAGCTGGCGTGGGACTGTGACTCTGGCTCAAGCAATAGGAGGCTGTGTAACTGTGAGAAGATAAAATTTAGGACAGCTGTGGGTTAGTAAGAGAGAAGGAGTGATAGTGCTGCAGCCGTGGACCCCACCAGGGGGACTCTGGACTCTGACTGACTGTACCTTGTGGCCAACAATGACTGACTGACTCTTAATACTTTATCTATTCCATTGCAGGAGGAGTGATTCTGTTCCCTAACTATCAGATTGCGGGAGTGTCTCATAACTTATTACCTGTTCAGAATTACTGTAATATTAAATGATTATTTGAACTGGGATGATTTGCCTGAATTCATTTAGTTTGTATCAGATCCTAACTACTACAAGAGCACTCTTCTGAGTTGTAACTATATCACCAGCTGTAGAAAACACTATTTCTGCAGCTACACTTATTCCTGGGATGCAGAGGACATTTTTTATCTAAGTTGGAGAATAATAGGAAAGCAGATTCATTCTTCTACCAGCTTATTGGATCTCCACTAAGAGCCAGTGGGACTTTCTCCTTGCACTTTTTGACTTCATCCTCAGGCATGGCACGCTGTACATGAGACCTGACATTTAAAAGGCTGATAAAGGTCTCTCCAAACAGATCATCAAGGTACAAGAACCGCCAAAGTTCCCAAGTCTTTTTTTTTTTGTAGAGTGGGAAGGGAGATTCAAGCAGTTCTTGGTCAGGTAAAGTCTTCTGGATTTGAGACTAGGAAGATGTTTAAAATAAATAAAACAATAGAAAAGGGTGTATCCTGGACCAGTGTGTTGCAATATACAATATGTTTACTTAATATACAAATAAAGTAGAATACATAATTTGTGTGATACATATATTGTGTACAAAAATAAGGCATAAAAATCTATTAATGTGATATAGGGTTAGGGTTAATATACTGTAGTCTTTTTCTATTTTTAAGCCATATGGATAGATATTTGTGTAATCAACTTTAAATTCAAGTAGATGATACACAACATCCAAAAAATTTGCTAAGCTCACCTGATGATTCCTGACCGCGTCTGCTATCACTGTAGTAAAGGTCTCCTCTTTCTCTTCCTCATCTAGAGCAGTGTTTTAAACCAGGGATTCAAAGCAGAGACCATGGACAAAAAGCGTTTATCACACACACATCATCATTTCCCCTGGTCTCTTGTCACAGCATTTGTGATGTCTTAAATAACTGCAGAGTCTGTTGCCTAGGCCTGAGTGCTGGGAATCAGCTGCGTGTGCAGTGGTGCAATGATGGACACTGTGGGTGTTTTCTCTTCTGACATTACATTTGTCACTACTTTGGGGGGGTTACAGGGCTTTAGAAATAGCTTCAGTGAAGGCAGCATCGGCTTCAGGTAATCTCCACAGCTCTTTTGCACTTTTGCTCGCTTTGGTGGAGAGTAGTCAAAACAGACACCGGTTTGTGTTCTGGCCGATTTGCCAGCCCATTTTTAATTTAGTGCCTGGCTTGCAATGGCACTTTTTTGAAGAAACAATGAAGTGAATTTGTCCCAGCAGATGAGACACGGTGAGCACCTTCAGTACCTCCCATTCTACTTCTGTAGACTCTAAGAAACACAAGTAGACCTGCACTTTGACAGCTCTTTTGGGATGATAAGGCACTATGAGGTCATGGGAGACAAGACAACAGTTACATGACATTACAAAAGGATATAGAGTGTTAAACAAGGTTGTAGTGTGTGAAGTGTGGGTATTTGCAACTTATGCAGTCTATGAAATGCAAGAAAGGGAAAAGGAGGGGAAATAAATAATTACAAAGACTAATGATGATAACAGTACTACTAATGAAATTAGCTTATTACATTTCTAGAGGTTGGTGGGAATGTGTGTGGCCTCAGCCCCAGGTATTTGGTTCATGTTGAAATGTGTTAAAAATAGGTTCCATGTGTCATAAAAAGTTGATAAGCTATTCTTATGAGTGGATGCCATTTTCCTTAATGTGATGTATTCTGTCAGAAGGTTGGTCCAGTGGTATATGTGTAGTGATTTTTTTGATTTACAGTTTTGAAAGATTGTTTTCTTGGCAAATTGATAGAGAAATGAGGACTGGGATTTTGTATTTGATTGGTAGGTGGTCAACATCTGTGATATTACCGAGTAAGCAAAGTGATGGAGAAGGAGGGATTCTACAGCCTAAGATGGTGGAGAGTTTCTCTGTCAACTGCTCTACCCACCGCACTGTTGCCTCCCCAAACAAGCAAAAGTTTTAAAAATAATGCAAAGTTGAGATTTAAACTTTAGAAAACATGCATTATTGTCATTTAATGTGATAAAGACTGCATTTATGGTTAGTCAGTCCACACAGCTGCTACCAGGCACTTTCCACTGGGAGGTTTGTGTATTTTTAAGCTTAGACCTTCACTGTTCTAGGTTACAGTCTTATGTTTTATTGCTTCTATGTCAACAGAAGGCTTTCCTCCAGTGTCTACAATAACTAAGGAATTTAATATGAGCACACAGTGTGAATTTACATCTCAGTTAGTATAGAAGGAACACTGTCACAGATACTGTATATATACCTGTGTTTTTACATCAAAATCTACATTGTCACTCAGGTCTGTTCGACTCATCTTCCTTTGTTGTCTCTATTTGTATTCTCATCCACATTTTCTCTCTCTGTGTCTCACTCCTCATCTCATTTTTCCTCTCTGCAGTGCACACTTTTCTAGAACACCTTTTCCCTCTGGTTCTCAGGTAACTAAATATAGTGACTGGCGTAGACAGCTTGGCCTTATAACAAATGGTAAGCAGAGCACAGCAGTGGTAGAATTTACTATGGAAGCGAATGAATATAAAAAGGCTACATATCAGAATTAAGGTAAAAACAACGGTGGGTTATATGCGCTGAAAATTAATGAAGGGGTGACTTGATCTCAAAATGAAATGCAAGCAGGT